ATGTTCATGATGTCAATCACTGGATTGTCTGGTCCAGATTTGAATAATTACAGACATCATCTAGCTCGAATATGGCTGAGTGCGACATTAAACAACAAACAAACAAACAATGTGGCCTTTGAATTAGCTGATTGCCTTCAGCACGCTACATATACAAATGAAATATGGTGATGTTAACACTGACCCCATGTTGTACGTACTCTGCGTTGTCAACACCTGACCTGGGAGTGTAGGTAGCAAGCCAGTAGGAATTGCCACAGAGGCATGCGAGATTGTGAGCAGTTATCACCGTTACAGGGAAATGTCAGATTCAGTATCACTGGTTGTGTGACAGGGAGGTGTAGGTTATGACATTTACTTAAGCACTGTTTACTGGCTTCTAGCTTGTTTAAATTCATCTGTCAATGTTCTTTGGGTGTTAGTCAGAAAATGTGAAGTTCTCCCACTGCTAATTGAGAAGTGTGATGGTGGTATGACCCCATGTTTTGCACGCTGCTTCTTTTGTCAGTGTATAGCATGTACATGAACACCTCATTACGTTAATGCCACATTAATCATCACAGCCACATGACAATAGTGATAATTAAAATACTGATGAGGCATTCAATCTCAAATACTCACTCACTCACTCACTCACTCACTCACTCACTCACTCACTCACTCACTCACTCACTCACTCACCTACTGATGATGTTCATAATGACCCACCACAACGTTTGTGTTTGTTTATTTGTTGTTTAACGCCACACTAGGCAATATTGAGTCTGGAGTAGGCAATCCAGTGATTGACGTCATGAACATCGATCTACGCAATTGGGATACAATGACACTTATCAACCAAGTCTGCGAGCCTGACCACCCAATCCCGTTAGTCGCCTCTTACGACAAGTATAGTCACCTTTTATGGCAAGCATGGGTTGCTGAAGACCTGTTCTAACCCAGATCTTCACGGGTCCCCTCCACAACGAACAACATTATTATTATTATTTTGTTTTTGGGTGATCATAATCATGTTAACCGATAATTTAGTAACCCTGATTATGTTAGGTAGTAGTGATTACTAAAAATATTATCAGAAATGGTAATAACAAGGATAATGATAATTAATGGACCGGTCATTTATCATAGGGTGTGTTTGTCAGAGGGACCGGTCATTTATCATAGGGTGTGTGGGTCAGAGGGACCGGTGATTTATCATAGGGTGTGTGGGTCAGAGGGACCGGTCATTTATCATAGGGTGTGTTGGTCAGAGGGACCGGTCATTTATCATAGGGTGTGTGGGTCAGAGGGACCGGTCATTTATCATAGGGTGTGTGGGTCAGAGGGACCGGTCATTTATCATAGGGTGTGTTGGTCAGAGGGACCAGTCATTTATCAAAGGGTGTGTGGGTCAGAGGGACTGGTCATTTATCATAGGGTGTGTGGGTCAGAGGGACCGGTCATTTATCATAGGGTGTGTGGGTCAGAGGGACCGGTCATTTATCATAGGGTGTGTGGGTCAGAGGGACCGGTCATTTATCATAGGGTGTGTTGGTCAGAGGGACCAGTCATTTATCAAAGGGTGTGTGGGTCAGAGGGACCGGTCATTTATCATAGGGTGTGTTGGTCAGAGGGACCAGTCATTTATCAAAGGGTGTGTGGGTCAGAGGGACTGGTCATTTATCATAGGGTGTGTGGGTCAGAGGGACCGGTCATTTATCATAGGGTGTGTGGGTCAGAGGGACTGGTCATTTATCATAGGGTGTGTGGGTCAGAGGGACTGGTCATTTATCATAGGGTGTGTGGGTCAGAGGGACCGGTCATTTATCATAGGGTGTGTGGGTCAGAGGGACCGGTCATTTATCATAGGGTGTGTGGGTCAGAGGGACCGGTCATTTATCATAGGGTGTGTTGGTCAGAGGGACCAGTCATTTATCAAAGGGTGTGTGGGTCTGAGGGACTGGTCATTTATCATAGGGTGTGTGGGTCAGAGGGACCGGTCATTTATCATAGGGTGTGTGGGTCAGAGGGACCGGTCATTTATCATAGGGTGTGTGGGTCAGAGGGACTGGTCATTTATCATAGGGTGTGTGGGTCAGAGGGACTGGTCATTTATCATAGGGTGTGTGGGTCAAAGGGACTGGTCATTTATCATAGGGTGTGTGGGTCAGAGGGACTGGTCATTTATCATAGGGTGTGTGGGTCAGAGGGACCGGTCATTTATCATAGGGTGTGTGGGTCAGAGGGACTGGTCATTTATCATAGGGTGTGTGGGTCAGAGGGACTGGTCATTTATCATAGGGTGTGTGGGTCAGAGGGACTGGTCATTTATCATAGGGTGTGTGGGTCAGAGGGACTGGTCATTTATCATAGGGTGTGTGGGTCAGAGGGAATCAGGAGAGGGGATCCAAAACATATCACCGCCTCTAGGGGAGACCCGTGAAGATTCCCGGGTAGAATAGGGCTTCAGCAACCCATGCTTGCCGTAAAAGGTGACTATGCTTGTCGTAAAAGGCGACAAATGGGATCAGGTGGTTAGGCTTGCTGACTTGTTTGATGCATGTCATCGATCCCAATTGGGTGAATCGATGCTCATGATATCAATCACTGGATTGTCTGGTCGAAACTCGATTATTTACAGACCGCCGTCATATAGCTGGAATATTGCTGAGTGCGGCGTTAAACAACAAACCAAAACACCAGTTCCCACATTCAATCAAATTAAAACCAATAACAGCAAATTAAATTTAAAAATCTATCTGAACAAATAATTATTAATAGTATATCCGATATCTCATATTAGAGAATTACTAATTGTTTTTATGTCAACATTGTTATTTAACCTTAAATTATGTTAATAATTAGGGATGTATCGGTATACCGGTAAATTGCAATACAAATTCATCATGATACGTATCGTGATACGTTTTTGGCGTATCGGTTTTTCCCTCGTTATTCAAACACCACCTGATAAAAATACGTATTCAGTCCGGACTAGTACAAGGAGCCACACAAACACACACACGTACGTGACCTATCATGAAGACTAGGATTTGATGTTACTTTACTTTGTTTAACTTGTTTTTGCTGGCTGTTCACTATCCAGAATACTAAAGAAAAACACATTTCATTGTGATCACAGTACTGGTAGTGGTAAAACATTTGAAATTTGACCAGTTGCATCTTTTGACATTGAGTGTAATTTTTTTCACAATGTTTGATGACTGACAATGACTGACATGGAATTTGTCCAAATGTATAATTCTTATCAAATTCATGTTAATGTTAATGTTGATGTTTCATTGTTTTTCAAACTGTTTCAGAGAGTTAACATTATTCAAATGTGATTGAAAAAGGTTGGAGACTGTGACTGACATGTATATGCCATGATGTATAGTCTTACCTCATTAAATCAAAACAAAGACAAAACAAATGCTTCATACTCTTTATTTGATTGTAGATAAAAATAATAGTACAATGTATTAAAATTGGTTCATAATTTTGACCAAATTGTTAACATTGCAGCTTTCATATTAATATTTGTCAAAGGGATATGAAAAAAAGCTTTTCTCTTGGTAGAAATTATTTCCCAATATATTGCAATAATATTGCAATATGTTTTTGAAATATTGCAATACACTTTTTGGTCCAATTCCCAACCCTATTAATAATCACATTGTACCATTTTAAAAGCTATGATCATCTTTCATGGCTTGTATTATTGATTCGATTCAAGACAAAACTCCATGTTTATTTGTAGAAGGGAGTAGGTCTTTATTTGGGGGACCAGTCTGTGTAAATTAAGCTCCTTGATCAATGGTTGTTCTTGTTGACCAGTTCCAGAAAACCCAAGGTTTAACGAGCAGTGTTATTTGGGGCAGCTAAAGTCATCAACATTAGAACATTAAACTTTCCATGATAAACATTCATAAAACAGTTTTCCAAATAGTCCCTATCCTGTTACATGCGTACACAATACTGTTAGTCCAATAGTGATCCATCATGTTTTGAGGAAGTGTTTTGCTTATATTTGAAAATTACCAAGTCTTTGACCCAAGCTAATTTTCACTGGAGATGTAGAGAAAAACAGTATCAACACATGGTAAAGCATTCATCAGTCAGACTTACTCTTACTTAGATTTCCATTTAAATTATGAATCAGCCTTTTTGACACAATTTGAGATAATCTTACGAATTTGATCATGTGTAAAAAAGAAAAAAGGCAAGTTGTCAGCCTCTTGAACATGTCTGATAATTCCATACCAGTATTTGAAAGTTCTCCACAACTTCAAAACTTGACCTTTCCAGTGGTCCCAAAAGGGCCCTTATCCAAGTGTAACCTCTTGGGCTGGGATGGGTAACTCGGGTACTCGGGTCGGGTGGGTCCTCAGTAGGACCCGGTTCCCCACAGGTCTACCCGGACCCGTGGTTAGTCACCACGTGGTTGGTCACGTGATATATTGTTCAATGACAAAAACTCTGTGGTTACAGTACAAGTCGCTAATGTTCGCATTTCTTTCTAACGATGCACCTGTTCCTTTTGACTTGTATATGTTTGAGTAAGGATAAAGCTTCAGTCTTCAGTGAACGCATGATCTGATTGTTTGATACATGTATGTATCTTCTCCCTCTGTATCTAAATAGTTTTGGTCAGGGCTACGGTAAAACAATTACCAATCAGACATTTTGTTCCCTACTCTTGAGACTTGCAGTGGGTAACTGGGTAGGGTCGGGTAATGGGGGGTCGGGTAATGGGAGGGTCGGGTACCCGGGTAGTATATCTGGACTCGTCCCAGCCCTAGTAACCTCCTCCTCCCAGCACACGACCAACTCTGTCACAAGAGCCTACCTTGAGGCACCAGTACCTGTTTGTGCCCCAATGTTCAGTGGTGGTGTGGGCAAACCGTCAAAAGTTCTCTGCTAGCAAGAGCTAGGTGCTGAGATCGTAGCCCGCTAGTGATAATATTAATGTGCATGGTCTATAGGTTACCATGGTTACTGTGTTTCCTTAACTGTGAAAGACATACATTGGTCCTGTGTTGGTGTCCGTGAACCCATTCAAACAGCTCAACATCTTCACTGAAAGACACATAGAACAGTACCAGGGAGCGGTAAGTATAGCGACTGTAATGCACTGATCACAGATAGAACTCATGGAACACTCTCTGCCTCCATGACAACAGCAGGGCAGAACATGTCACATGTCTTCATTTGGTTGGCACTTCGGGCTGGCCGCCGTGATATAACTGGAATACTGTTCAAGGCGGCGTTAAACCCAACCCACTCACTCATTCATTTTGTTGGTTTGTTATTCACTTTTAATGTGACTTTAAAAAGCCTTGAATATATGTGGGAGATATCTGTATGAACACTGAAGACGTTACCATGTAAGCATGGTAAGTCAAACTAACCTTATGTTTAACAAAGTTAATATTTTCATTACAGTATTTCAGGGGAACAACAGATCCTACTGTCTCTAACATTCTCTTTGCATTTATTAAACAATAAGTGAATGTATCTGGTAACTGATTGAACTAGTGAGACAAAATCTAAAGCTAAAGTTATCCTAGATTACAAATCAAAGTACCGTATTCGATGTAATAAGTGCCCAGGGCGCTCTCAAAATTAGAAATAGGGGCCTCTGATTAGACACTGTTAGAATGTTGGTGAAAAATAAGAGTTGAAAGATAAATTTCGTGGTTTATGCTGACAACCTGAAATGTTTATGTACGACAGATATATTTTTCCAGAATGAAATGCCCATAATTAACATGATTAAGGGTGCATATAACACACGAGTGCGTATTATACTCGAATAAATAAGTCTTGTGTACATTGATCAATCGGAATGGGTGCTAACTGGGATTGTTCACTAGCCAATATCTTAGCAAGTGTCGCTGTGGGCGCTTATTACGTCGAATACGGTATGTTAGGGATGAGTTAGTGACTGAAGCCCTGAGGCGCTGGCTGTGACAGCAGCATGGAACGTGGCTTCACACAGAGACTGAATAGGTTTACCCTCAGTCGACATGCCAGCATGACATGTGGTCTTTCTTCAGCAGTGTTCAGAGTTCTTCCGTCATCATGATCAGTGATCATTAGAATATTAGAAAGTTTGAATTATTGGAAAAATTAAGCATGTAAAAAAATAATGATTATCAGAAAACTGTGATTTCAGAAACACTACATTTGATGAGCCTGTTTAAACTTGTTTGAATGACTAACCGTTTGTGTGATGTGTGATGTGTGATGTGTTATTTCCAGGCCCAGTATGAGAACCCCCCTCATGTGTACGCCCTCACAGACAACATGTATCGGAACATGCTGATAGAGATGGAGAACCAGTGTGTCATTATCAGGTACTTCAGTATAAACAGCCCTTGTAGTTCCCAGTACTCCCAAGAACTCCAAGTACTCCCAAGTACTTCCAAGTACTCCCAAGTACTTCCAAGTATCCCAGTACCCTAAGTACCCAGTACTCCCAAGTACACCAGTACCCAGTACTCTCAAGTACTCGACTACCTCAATACTCCACTCCCCCAGTACTCCCATACTCCAGTACCCATAGTACCCCCAATACTCCATTATGTCCTTATGTCCAGTACCCCCAATACTCTCCTAACCAGTACTACCAAGTATCCCACAACCTCCAGACCGCCGCCGTGGCCTAGTGGTAGAGCGTCCGCCCGGAGAGCGGAAGGTCCGGGGTTTGATCCCCGGCCGCGTCATACCAAAAGACGTTAAAAGATGGTACTTGTTACCCTGTCTGGCGCTCGGCATTAAGGGGCTAAAACAAGGAGTGGTCGGCTCGGAGTCAGTATACTGTGTCTGAGTGGGTTATTCATGTTAAACTGCGGCATGGTATCTCAGTGAACTAAATCGGCATCATTCCGGACTAGTACAAGCAGCCACACACACAGTGACACACACACCTGCATGCACGTCGCTATATAAGTGCAATAATCTTGGACACGACGTTAAACCCAATTTCACCTCACCTCACCTCACCTCACCTCACCTCACCTCACCTCACCTCACCTCACCTCACCTCATATCACCTCACCTCACCCAGTACCCCAAGTACTCTACTACCCCAATACTGCAGTACCTCAGTACCCATATACTCAAGTATCCCAAGTACTCCCCAGTACTCCCAATACTGCAGTATCCCCAGTACTCCCAATACACCACTACCCCAGTACTCCCAATACTCCACTACCCCAGTACTCCCACTACTCCCACTACTCCACTACCCCAGTACTCCACTACCCCAGTATCCCCAATACTCCACTACCCCCAATACTCCACTACCCCAGTAGTCCCAATACTCCACTACCCCAGTATCCCCAATACTCCACTACCCCCAATACTCCACTACCCCAGTACCCCTAATACTCCACTTCCCAAGTACTCCCACTACTCCACTACCCCAGTACTCCACTACCCCACTACCCCCAATACTCCACTACCCCAGTACCCCCAATACTCCAGTACCCCCAATATTCCACTACCCCCAATACTCCACTACCCCAGTACTCCCAATACTCAAATACCCCCAATACACCACTACCCCCAATACTCCACTACTTTCAATACTCCACTACCCCAGTACTCCCAATACTCAAGTACCCCCAATACTCCACTACCCCCGTACTCCCAATACTCCACTACCCCCAACACTCCCAATACTTCAGTATCTCCAGTACTCCCAATACTCCACTACCCCAGTACTCCCAATACCCCAGTACCCCCAATACTCCAATATCCCAAGTACTCCCAATACTCCAGTATCCCAAGTAACCCCAATACTCCACTAACCCAGTACTCCCTATACTTCAGTATCCCAAGTTACCCCAATACTCCACTACCCCAGTACTCCCAATACTCCAGTATCCAAAGTAACCCCAATACTCCACTAACCCAGTACTCCAGTACCCCCAATACTCCAGTATCCCAAGTGTCCCCAATACTCTAGTACCCCCAATACTCCAGTACCCAATACTCCCAATACTGCAGTATCCCCAGTACCTCCAGTACTCCAGTATCCCTAGTACCCCCAATACTCCCGTAACCAGTACTCCCAATACTCCAGTACCCAGTACTCCCAAGTATCCAAGTACCTCCAGTACCCCAACTACTCTACTACCCCAGTACTCCAGTACCCAATACTCCCAATACTGCAGTATCCCCAATACCCCCAGTACTCAAGTATCCCCAGTACCCCAAATACTCTCGTAACCACTACTCCCATACTCCAGTCCCCAGTACTCCCAATACTCCAGTAACACCAATACCCCCAATACTCCACTACCCCAGTACTCCCAATACTCCAGTACCCCCAATACTCCACTACCCATATCTCAATACCAACGTACCCCCAATACTCCACTACCCCAATACTCCACTAACCCAATACTCCACTAACCCAGTACCCACAATTTTGCATTATCCCCAGGACTCCCAATACTCCACTACCCCCAATACTGCTGTGTCCACAGTACTCCCAATACCCCAGTACCGTAAGTACCCCATGCTTGTTGTGGTGAGAGCAGCTGATGATGACCTTTAAGAATGTGTGTCACCATGGTTGTTAATCATGTTATCAACCACCTGTGATATTGCCGCCTGGCCTTCACTAGTTGTTTACAGAGAAATAAACACACTCTCTCTATTCATGGTACATATTCTATGTATAAACTGCTTGATCTCATCACGAAAATGTAATAAGGAAATATATGGTAATACTTGTACTTGAGAAATTCAGTTACCGTATTCAAGTTTTTATTCCCTTGAAATGTTTCCCTAAAGATAAAGTATCTTCTAAAACAAAAACAAAATGCCTGTAACATTTACAATGGTTGAAGGGTGTTAATGATTGAATTCTTCACTGACCACTATCTGATCGCGAGATATACATGTAATATATACCATGTAAGTACACTATATTCCTGTCATTTGTCCTGCAGTGGTGAGAGTGGAGCAGGCAAGACCGTGGCAGCAAAGTTCATCATGAGTTACATAGCTAAAGTTTCTGGAGGCGGAACCAGAGTACAGGTGAGCTTCATCAATGTCATTAACACCTGGTGTGGCTCACGTGCCATTTAGCCTGCTAAGAAGCTGCAGTGTCGATGAAGACAGAATTGACTAGGTGTTGACCTTCTTTCTCTCAAATGTAATGTTTCGTCAATGAGCCTGAGTCTAGTAATATTCTGTTTTGCCTAGTAAGCACAGCTAGTAATAGGATTATAACAACATCAAACTCATGAAAACTGATACTTATGGCCAAGTGTAGGCCCTAAACACAAAAGCTTTTGGCTCAGACTGGTACAGATGCTAGTACCATTTTCAAGCTGGCCAAAAGTACTAGTACTGTATCAAAAGTGTCATGAAGAAGAAATGTGACTCTGTCTTGATCCAACTCATTAACTCCATAAATCACCTCTGTACATGTGACTTCGTGGACCTGGATAATCCTTATCTGCATCCTCATCTGCATCATGGTGTAATATTTACTCAAATCTTGTCTCAAACTAAGGATAACTCTGTTCATTTCTGTCATCACTAGTTCCTGATGCTTGCTGTAAGAGATGAGTATTATTTATGATGAGGTGATTGCAGTGTGCTCCTTGACTGATTGTGTGCAACCCATGGATTGTTGCCATCAGTCACTGGTATGCCTGGCCCAAATTTAATTGATAATAGGTCCAATGATGCCTAGTGTAAAACCACTAGCTCTTCACCCCTTCTGTTCTCTCTTGCTGTGAAAGTCTCACAATAGTACGTAGATCAGCGTCTAACGGGATCAGGTGGTCACGCTCGCTGACTTGGTTGATGCATGTCATCGTATCCCAATTACATAGATTGATGCTCATGATGTCAATCACTGGATTGTCTGGTCCAGACTGGATTATTTACAGACCACCGTCATATGGCTTGGATATTGCTGAGTACGGCGTTAAACAACAAACAAACAAACAAACAAAACGAAGATCAGTGATCCACATATGACCATCAATACCAATCAACTACACTTGATGATCAAAAGAGTAATGCATTATATCTTACAAAGTTTCTGTGAATGATCCTGGCATTTGTCTCTTTGCAGCATGTAAAAGACGTCATTTTGGAATCCAACCCATTACTAGAAGCATTTGGAAATGCCAAGACTGTTCGCAACAACAATTCAAGTAGATTCGTAAGTTTCATCATCATGTCTCTGAATTGTATTTCTGATTGACTGCCTCTGTGGTCCAGTGAATAGAGATGACCACATTCCCTAGATTGGACATTTAACAGCTCTCCAAAGAGTATAGTGATGCATACTCGTCACTACAACGCTTTTTCCTTTTTAGTCTGTTCTTGTGCAATCATCATTTACTTGTGAATAGACTACCTGGTTGGAGAGCGGAAGGTGGGCGGTTCATTCCCCGGACCTGTCATACCAAAACACGCTAATAGATGGTTGTTGTTACCCTGCCTGCCGCTCAGCATTAAGATAAAGCCAGGACTGTCCGACTCAAAGCCAGTATACTGTATCTGCGTGGGGTATCCATGTTGAACTCAGTACTCTGGTTTCTTCGTGGGCTAGCTCTATAAAATATGCATTAGCCGCTCACCACGCTTTTCACATAGGGCCATCTAAAAGCTGATTGGGTGGACAACACACAAAAACAATCATGAGCACAATAGAACAATCTTGAGCACAATAGGAAAACAATCGTGAGCACAATAGAACAATCGTGAGCACAATAGAACAATTGTGAGCACATTATGAGAACAATTTTGAGCACAATAGGAGAACAATCTTGAGCACATAGAACCATCGTCAGCACAATAGGAGAACAATTGTCAGCACATAGGAGAACAATCTTGAGCACAATAGGAGCAGTCTGGTGATGCAGCCACGCACTGAATTTGTTCCGCTATATTAACACGACAGTGAATGTTTTATCATCTGTATAGTGAAGAACATACTGATCATGCTGATGTATGGTGATTCAATCTGATTTCAGGGCAAATATGTTGAAATCCAGTTCAGTCGAGGAGGTGAGCCCGATGGTGGGAAAATCTCCAACTTCCTGCTGGAAAAGGTTGGTGTGTTGGACCTGCTGGAACAGTTGCAATGATAAATATATAAAAGTTCAAGAAATAGCCTCCTGTAGTCAATATTTACAGTGTTTTAAGATTAAGATGATATTGAATTGAATTGAATTTAAATTTTGAAAATTTTTGCATTGGGGAAAAATATTCAAAACTCAATGTCTGAGTGAATAATGCACACACCCCTCTTCCATGTCTACACAACTTTTGTGGGAAGAAGTGAGCTCAAGAAAATATGGTAGACGCAACTACATCCACCATTACTCTCTATGCCTGTCATCTGTAAGTAATTGCAATGGTCCTAGTCACTAATAAACTGCACATGTTGATCATACAATATTTATGCCTTCTATTCCTTCATTTCCTCGCAGTCTCGAGTAGTTTCCCAAAACCCAAGTGAGCGAGGATTTCATATATTCTATCAGCTATGTGCTGGGGCCACAGCTCAGCTCAAAGGTAAGATGGGCTGACAAATATCCACGTCTTCTTCATATGCATGATTTCAGATTTAGAATTGTGTACAGCATTCATATGTTTTTAATGGACATGAATATACTCAACAGCTGACTATGAAACACTAAGAGGAATGTATTGTCTATATTGCCATGAATGAGTGAGGGGGATGAAAATCCCTGCCATACATAGTCAAGCCACTATATCATTTTATATTGCAGAAAATTGCTAATACTTAGTTTAATTCACTTTCATTTGTAGCCTTGGTAACTGTAATTTGTGATTGTAGGAAAAAACACAAACAGAAAAAATAATTTTTGAAAAATCTGTTAATCACCAAAAGACAGATTCATGGTACTTGAAGGAAATAGTTCATTTCTCTATTTTTTGCACTGTCACGTCCTTATTACATAACATGCATTTCACTCCACTTCATAGATTACGGGTAACCTATCAGTGTTCAGAAATGTGTATAGATATTGCCTCAAAGTTTATTTACGTTGTCCTTACAGACAGCCCAGTCTCTTGTCATGCTCAGTTGCGTGAGCAAGGTAATTGACTCAAGGCATCTAGTGAGCCCTAGCAGGCCTTGTTAGACAACAGGGAAGAAGCCAGAGATTAGTGCCCCTTTAAAAACCATTGCCTAAATTATGTACAAAGTTATGGACCAACACAGACACGTTAAGGACATACATGGAACTGGCTTCATCTGTCTTGTATTTCATCAAAATGAAAAGATGATTTTGTCGGATGGAAAATTTGTATATGTCATAACACCACCCACACGCACTTGAATCATGTTCGCCATTGTCAGTATGTACTGTTTTCCTTGAAGCAAGAATACTTCGTTATTATTTAGGTACATTTTTGTGACTGAAGTTTGTGTGTTGCAGACAACTTAGGTATAACAAGTCCCGACTACTACTACTACTTGAACCAGAGTGGCACCTACAAGGTGGACGGCATGGACGACGTCCAGGAGTTCCAGGACACTCTGGTACATGGCTTTCACTTCTCTACATGTAGCCCAGGGGCATTCTGGGTTAGAATTGGTCCCCAGCTACCTATGCTGGTCTTAAAAGGCAACTTACTTAAGGCTTTGCTTCGACATTAAGCTCACAAGCAGTGATAGAAGTAGCATACTGTTCAAAGCCGTATTTAACTCACTCACTCACTCACTCACTCACTCACTCACTCACTCACTCACTCACTCACTCACTCACTCACTTACTCAAGAAAGAAAGAAAGAAAGAGGTGACCAAATGGATTAGATGGTCAGATTCAGTGACTTGGTTGATTACAAGTCATTGTACCCCAATGACGTGGATCATTGCTAACCCATCACTGAAATATCCGATCCAGACCCAATTATTTACAAACTGCTGTCATGTAGCTAGAATATTGCTGAATGTGGCAACTACAAACAAACAAACAAACTAATCCTCTACTCGTTTTGCAGCAAAAGACACTATGGGTAATACAGAGAATACACAGAATTACAGATTTTCTGAACCAAATTAATAAATTCTGTCAGTCAGAAGTGAGCCTTGCAAGTTAATTTCACATGTTTTCCCTTGATCCTCCAGCGAGCTATGCAGGTGATTGGTATTCCTGAAGACGTACAGAACGACGTTCTCTCCATTGTGGCTGGCATTCTACATCTAGGCAACATCAGCTTCCAAGAGGAAGGCAACTATGCCGGCATAGCCAATGATGATTGTAAGTTAGAGTGTGTGTTGGGTTTAGGGTTACAGCTGACCTGGCCTGTAAGTGTTGACTTGTTAGTTGTCCTCATACATCCACAAGTGTTTGTCTTGTTTTGAATTTTGCAAAATTTAGGGTAGATTAATCCTTTTAAAGAGAATAAGAAAGGCTGTAGTCAAATTGAAAAAAGGAGGAAAAGTATTTTTAATTGATATTCCAAATCCTAGTGTGTTTTACTGACCCATGAAGACCCTGGATAGAATAGGTTTTCAGCGATGTTTGTCGTCAGAGGCGACTAACGGGACCGGGTGGTCAGGCTCGCTGACTTGGTTGATGCATGTGGATGCATGTCATCATGTCCCAATTGTGTGGCTCGATGCTCGTTATGTCAATCATAGTGGTCTTGACTCGATTATATACAGAATGAGGTCATATTGGTGGAATATTGCTGAGTGCGGCGTTACACAATAAACACACAAAAATACTATGAGTAAATAGTCAAATGGGCAGTAGTTTGGGCAGATAGTAATCATGTCTTTGCTAATCAATTTTCAGTCCTGGCTTTCCCGGCTTTTCTACTGGGCATTGATGGCGAGCTACTTCGCACCAAGCTGACCGGGCGTGTCATGGACAGCAAATGGGGAGGCAAGACGGAGAGTATTGAAATGAAACTTAACAAGGAACAGGCCGAGTTCACCAGAGATGCTCTTGCCAAGGCCATCTACACACGTGTTTTCGACTATCTGGTAGCGGTGAGTAAACACATGACTTATGTAACCTGGTCATGCATGTCATGCCACATGGCAGCAAAAGGCACCTCATGTCCTAACTCTATATAGTCAGCCTCAAGGATGTCATTGTATCCCATTTGCATAGATCGATGCCCCTAATGTCAATCACTGGATTGTCTGGTCCAGACCCTATTATTTACAGACCACCGTCATATAGCTGGACTATTGCTGTGTGCAGCGTTAAACAGCAGACAAACAAACAAACACAAGCTTTACATTGTTGTGGTGACCTGTCATTTCTCACTGTTTCAGTCGGTCAACTGTGCTATGCAGAAGGAGACAGAGGAAGTCAACATTGGGATTCTTGATATATACGGGTTCGAAATCTTTGCCAAGAATGGATTTGAGCAGTTCTGTATAAACTATGTCAACGAGAAACTACAGCAGATCTTCATAGAGCTCACCCTGAAGGCAGAGCAGGTACAGCATTTGCCAATCCCAGTTCTTCTTGGGGTCTTAGTGTATGGTGGAAGAAGTGTGTCATGTCTGCTCAGTTCATGAAAAGAGCACATTTCATGACCAACGATAGAGTTGATGTTTCCTCACTTATCTAATCTTAGTTGTTCTGGTAGATGGATGTTTTATTATGGCAAGTTTGATGCAGAAAGGGAAACACTCCGAAAACATTCAGTATTGTACTACAGTTTCAGTTTGGGTAGTTGGCCCGAGAAGACTGCTGGTTATAGTGTCTGCTTCAAGGTTTGATTCCTCACTATCATCCTTTGATGCCATTGTCGATGTCCCACACATAATACAATATGGCTCAAACTGGTGTAAACCTACAATATTCACCCATGTGAATGAAAATAGAAGTGACCATTCAAACATTATGCAGCAGATCAAGGGAGACAGTTCCACTGAATACCTTATCCATTATAGATCTACATGTGGCTTAAGTTTGTCCTCAATCCATACTACTACTACTACTACTACTACTACTACTACCACTACTACCACCAGTACTGCTACTACTACTACTACCACTACTACCACTACTACCACCAGTACTGCTACTACTACTATTGCTACTGCTACTGCTACTGCTACTGCTACTGCTACTGCTACTACTGAAGTACAATGTAGTACTACTCTATTGAACCTTTCTGTGATTTCCAGGAGGAATACGTACAGGAGGGCATCAAGTGGACAGCCATTGACTACTTCAACAACAAGATCGTGTGTGACGTGATCGAGTCCAAGAGTCCCCCAGGAATCATGTGTGTGGTGGATGACATCTGTGCCACCATGCATGCCGTGTCGGAGGGGGCTGATCAGAAACTGCTCATGGTGAGACTCATGTTCTGTGAAGTCTCGACCGATTTACCGTTTGATTCCTCATAACTGTCATTGACTTAGAAACTCTAGATTCCTTGATTCATCAAAGTAGAATCTGTCTACATGATAATATGACATGTTTTGTGTTGGAATGGAATCACTACATTGCTCATGTAGAACTCCGGGAGAGTACATACTGTTGTCTCGGTCTCTTGAAATTCCACTTGATGCAAGACCGCCTCCGTGGTCTAATGGTAGAGCGTCCGCCCGGTGAGTGGAAGGTCCGGGGTTCGATCCACGGCCGCGTCATACCAAAAGACGTTAAAAGATGGTACTTGTTGTTACCCTGTCTGGCGCTCGGCATTAAGGGGCTAAAACAAGGACTGGTCGGCTCGGAGGCAGTATACTGTGTCTGAGTAGGGTATTCATGTTAAACTGCGGCATAGGTATCTCAGTGAGCTGGCACTATAAATCGGCATCAGTCCGGACAAGTACAAGCAGCCACACAAACACATACACGAGCATGCACGTTGCTATATGAGTGCAATAATCTTGGACGCGACGTTAAACCCAATTTCACCTCACCTCACCTCCGCTTGATGTGAGTAGGTTGTAGCTAGTGTTGTCTATTTCAGAAACTGCAAGGTGCTGTAGGATCTCACGAGCACTATCAGGGATCTAACACAGGGTTCATCATACACCACTATGCTGGCAAGGTGAGGGGATGACCGTTGTTTACCTGTTCCAGTTGCAGCATTGATTTGTCATTTTGTCACCTTACACTTCGAGAAATAATGCTTTTTATATGACATTATATTGGATGTTAAAAATGAAAGAATATGACTCTACAGAATGGTACACAATGAGATATATAATATAATGGGTGTGAGGCTACAAATTAAGAGCCTTCTGAAGACCCTTGACCGCCTCCGTGGTCTAATGGTAGAGTGTCCGCCCGAGAGCGGAAGATCCGAGGTTCGATCCCCAGCCGCGTCATACCAAAAGACGTTCAAAGATGGTACTTGTTGTTACCCTGTCTTGCGCTCGGCATTAAGGGGCTAAAACAAGGACTGGTCGGCTCGGAGTCAGTATACTGTGTCTGAGTAGGGTATTCATGTTAAACTGCGGCATAGGTATCTCAGTGAGCTGGCACTATAAATCGGCATCAGTCCGGCCTAGTACAAGCAGCCACACACACACATACACGTGCATGCACGTCGCTATATAAGTGCAATAATCTTGGGCGCGACGTTAAACCCCATTTCACCTCACCTCTGAAGACCCTCCCTGTAAGTTTGGTCAAATTTAAACTTTAAAGCTTCAGTTGGTTTTCTCAAGCACATGCTTATGACAGATGTTACAGACTCCATACCTGACATATAACCCCGGAGAGTTTGTATGGCATCTAATTAGATTATATTGAAGGTCAAGGTTACTCTGTACTCTAGGCATTCAAACAGCATGTGTACAAGATAACTTAAGTATTAGTGATTGGAATTTGAAAAAAAACTTAGTGTACATGATAAAATTTCAAGCTCACTATGTCAAATTATGAGATGTGGTTGAAATGTCATGATCTTTCGGATTAATGCATGAAAAAGTCAAAGCTTTTTACAGTTAAGAAAAGTAACTAACTCTACACCAATCATATGTGTTGATTGTATCACATGACTTGTAAATAGTCTTAAATGCTAATGAAGTGGGATTTAAACGTTACATTCTTTTGTTTCAGGTGTCCTACGAGGCAGAAGGATTTTGTGAAAGGAATCGTGATGTTTTATTCACTGATCTCATTCAGCTGATGCAGTCAAGTCAAAAGTAAGGACACTATTGTGTATCTAGGTTTGTCAGCACCATACCCATGCTTGTGGGTTTCACCAAAGTGTTTAATGTATAAGACCTGCATCACTCCCTTGGGCTTCTGCCTTTCTTCATACATTAAGCTTGCATGCCATAATATGACTGGAATAATGTTTAAAGCAGGGGGCACGGGTGGCCCAGTCGTCTAAGGTGCCACAATTCGCTGTCCAGAGTTGCGTCCCTTGGGCACGCCAGAAACCTATGATTGTGGGTGCGAATCCCGGTTCGCCCCCATTATGTTTCTAAGTTTGTCAGCATCATACCCATGCTCGTGGGTTTCACCGAACTGGTAAACGTACGAGACCTGCATCACCTCGGGCTTTCCTCCCACATTAAGCTGACACCCCGCGATATAACAGGAATACTGGTAAAAGCGGTGTTAAACCCAACTCACTCACTCACTCACTATTATTTTACCAACAATGTGTGTGCTATTGGTGTTTTTCAGTGCATTTATTGCAAGTCTATTTCCTGAGAATGTCAGTTCCCAAACCAAGAGTCGTCCTACCACAGCCAGCAGCAAGATCCGAGTGAGTTTGTTTGCCTATTTATACATTCTTGGTTCAACATTTCATCAGTGAGAAAGTCAAAGCAAATCAGAAAAATAATTTCAAAAACTAAAATTTGTGCAAGGAATTGTTTCTGTCCAGTTTTCAAATGTGAAAATGTCTAAATGTATGTCAGACAGCAAGGCTGTAGATAGCATATTTCCAAACAGTGTTAAGCCTCATCTCATGTTTAGTTGTTTATCTCATATTTTTATCTCCACAGACTCAGGCCAATAAACTAGTGACAACATTAATGAAGTGTACGCCTCACTACATCCGATGTATCAAGCCAAACGAAACAAAGAAAGCCAGAGACTGGGAGGAAAGCAGGTCCGAATAGTTATCTCCCCTTAGTAGAGCATCTTCACCTTGAAGGAGTGTTTCAAATCTCTTGCATATGAATTAATTATGAGATAAATGTAATGTGTTTTCAATGTACAGCTCGGTTACTTTAGATTTAATTGAATTTGGAACTGAACTCTCAGCATGAGGTTTCAAATGTTAACTTCAGCATGGTGATGTGGCTCAAATCGGCTTTTATAATCAGAGGTCGTTATTGTGATTTGATTCCTCTGATTGACCAATCAGAATCAATGATTTTCTAAATTCATGGTAGAATAAAGATAAATGCGTGCCGTGAGATGGCCCAGTGGTGATGGTGATAGCATTATTCTATGTTGCTCTGTTTGATTCTCCGCAGGAGTAAGTGATGTAAACTGCTATCTCTGCGGTATTATCAAACCATGCAGTTTCCTATCCTCCATCAGTTCTCTCAAAAGTATTCTGAAACTTTTAGTCAACATGTCCTTAAGAAATAATTAACATATGATTTAGAAGGTGCAGCTGTCAACATTACTACACATGGATAAAAAACATGTGCTTTGTCTTTCATTGCCACCTATGTGTTTGGGTCTGATGTGGGATTATTGTCTTCCAGAGTTAAACATCAAGTGGAATACCTGGGCTTAAAGGAAAACATCCGGGTCCGAAGAGCTGGCTTTGCCTTCAGGAGAGAGTTCCCCAAATTCATCAAGAGGTGGGTTCATGCATTTACAACTGTTTGTGGGAGAATTAGAAATTAGAACAGGCATACATGAACACTTTGCCTAGTTGAGGGACAAGAAATCAGAGAGAGAATCAAAGACATTGTTGTCCATAAGAGCTGTTCATAGAGGGTATGGGTGGCCAAGTCATCTAAGGCACCACAGTTTATCTTGGAAGGCAAGAGTGCCTGAAAGTGTTATCCCAAAAATAACATTTGTTACATTTGACCATTTTCTAAATGGCTTTTGTGTGTTCATAGCTTTCGGCCATGGAAGCTGTGCCACTTTACACTTGTCATCTAGACTACCAATTGTCAGACTTTCATTTTTGTGGAAGCCTCGGAGGCTGAGTGGGTTAGATTGCTGACTTTGTGTGCTGGCGATTTGGTGCCTCACTCAGACAGTGTGGGTTCGAATCCTAGACGCGACTCAACCCAAAAAAGTATGAGAATCTGTACTCTACTCAGAAAGTGTTGTCCCTAATATAACATTTGTTACAAGAGTGCCTGAGTCATCTAAAGTACAACTGTTAACTTGGAATTGCAGCACTTAGGCAGACCATAATCTATGATCATGTGATTCACAGGTTCATGTAATTATGTTTCTTTGTTTGTCTGAATCATACATGTTCTGACTTAAATTACTCTCTCTCTCTCTCTCTCTCTCTCACTCTCTCTCTCTCTCTCTCACTCACTCACTCACTCACTCACTCACTCACTCACTCACTCACTCACTCACTCACTGTTGCATTCTTCAGATACAACATCCTGACACCGGAGACCTACCCGTCATGGCGAGGAGATCCACGTCAGGGCATCACACACCTCATGAACTCCGTCAACATGGACCGAGACCAGTTTCAGATGGGGAAGACTAAAGTGTTCATCAAAAACCCAGAATCGGTCAGTTTGGTTTGTTCACTGTTCAAAACTCGTAGGAACTCCAGGTTAGAATGGGTCCACAGCAACCCTTGCTGGTCATAAGAGGGGACTAAATGGATCGGGTGGTTGGTGACTTTTTGATGGCATGTCATCGTACCCTCACAGCGTGGATTGTTGTGCATAATATCAATCATTGGATTGTCTGGTCCAGACTCCATTATTTACAGGCTGCTGTCATTTACCTGGAATATTGCTGAGTGCAGCATTAAACAACACACACACTCTCACTTTTCAAATTATTAATGTATTGTGTTGCTAGGCAGATATCATTTTTTGCATGAATGTGGAAGGCAGCGTAGTGACAAGTTTTTATTTTTTAATAATAAAGAAAGGATAATAAGTTCTCAGTTTAATATTGATCTGACAGAGTTGGGTCTGTGCGAGAAAAACAAATCATTTTAATTTTTTGTTGTTCATGTTGATGCATCATAACCAAAACTTTGAATTTGTCAAGCATCTGGTATTACAGATTTTTAGAGACTGGAAATTTATTATGGGTGGGCGAGCCGGTGTTATTGATGTTATTACTCTTATCATATTTGGCTGACAACCACCCCCCACCCCATTCCACACAACCCCGTAACCCCCACACCACCATCCCCACCCTCCAAAATACTGTATCATGTTTGCAGCTGTTCCAAATGTGATGAATGTCATAGCTACTACTGTGTTGCCAATGTTTGTAAGCACCACACTGACTAACTAACCCCCAGTTGTGTTGGTCTTCAGCTCTTTCTCCTGGAGGAGGTGAGAGAGAGGAAGTATGATAGCTTCGCCAGGGTTATTCAGAAAGCATACCGCAAACACTACGCCGTCAAACAGTATCTCAAACTCAGGGAAGAAGGTAAGCTTTCGGCATCTCTCGTCAAGTCACCTTGACAGCATCAGATAGAACATAGGCTCCTAATAGAACATGATCGTATATGTTTTAGCATGTTTGTGTTATTTATTTCGGAATCTTTTATGATACAGATATATCAGAGAGTTCTAAATGATTGTTACAACATGTTGCCGAATCACTCCTTATCAGTGTGCATAGACAAGGTCAACTGAAAAATATATCTAGGATATTTTCGATGAAGTCTTTGATAAAAATGCATCACGAATTTGATTAAAAAGAGGAGAAGCTAATTTAAGACCATATGAATGAAGGACGGGGTGTGATTGAGAAGTTCTGAGCCTCACAAAGAAGGAATTGAGTAATAATGAAATCTTCTGTTGTGGTCATTACATTCATAGGAGTATATCACAAAAACGTAAGTTATCTGAGGAAATCGTTTTGCCGTGACCAGTCAGTAAAATAAATGGTCTGTGACATTTGAACAGCTTGAGGAATGTGCAGAGGTTATGCCTCTATACGTCATGTAATGTTCACAACAGAAGATGTTGCCTATTACACACTTCCTTCTGTGGGGAGCTCAGAACTCATCAATCAACCCTTTTATAAATTCGCCCCATAAATGTTCGTTGTATTGATGCTGCTGTACCCATGGTAATTTTTAGTTTCTGATTATGAGAATTGTTTTGTTGACTAATATAGTGATCAGGAACACTCTAGTAAGAGGAACGTGTATTGCATGGCTGGAAGCCCCCTTGTCAATAACATTGTCAAGTTTTTATTTAATACGTTATTATGTACGAAATGTTTTGTGTGTGTGCATTTTGTAATAGATGTGAATGTTTTCTTTTCTTTTAGCGTCTGATATTGTATTGAACAAGAAGGAGAGACGAAGGTACAGTCTCAACAGGAACTTTGTCGGGGACTACATTGGACTCGAGGACTCCCCTGAACTACGGGCCCTGGTTGGCAAGCGAGAGAGAATAGAATTTGCTCACCAAGTATTGAAGTATGATAGAAGGTTTAAGGTATGTGATATAGGTTGTTGAATGACTTGGTTGTGTTGGCACAAGAAAAGATCGTGATCCTTCACGGATATCTCTGGTTTGTAACACAATGGGATTGGTTCTGGAATCATGTTTACATTCCTTGACTCTTGGACCTTATCACCTCTGGACACATCAGTCTGCTGAATCTGATAACTGCATACAAAATTTTGAATTTGTATTATTAGCAAGCCTTTTCATATCCTTCAATTGGTAATAAGAGCAAAATGTGTATTTAAACAGAAAATAGAATGTTGTTCAGTTCAAAAGGATAACCGTGAAGATCCATACTTGACTATGACTATGCTTGTTGTAAAAGTGACTAGCGGGATTGGGTGGTCAGACTTACTGACTTGGTTAATGCATGTCATCGATCCCAATTGTGTAGATCGATGCTGAGTGTGGCGTAACACAACAAGACAAACATACAATTCAAGTGGAACCCTCTAAGATGTTCAATGTACAGGGAAAATCCGCTTTTGAGCAAACCAGTTTCCTTTTCTCTCTCACCTTTAAGAATTCAATATGTGAAAAGTTACAGCACATAATATCAAGATTTCCAAATGTGTTTCAGAGTGTGAAGAGAGACCTGCTTCTCACCACCAAGAACTTGTACCTGATAGGGTTAGAAACAGTGAGTGGCATTTAAGGACACATTTAACTGCTTCTGTGTTAATTTTGCATCTTTTAAAAAATAACAGTAAGAAATTATGTTTTGTTTGCTGTTTTTACGATGTGCCAAGTGATTGATGTGATAATCATGCCCTGTTAGTCATCATGTCATAGTATAAATCCAGACTTGATTATTTACTGGCTGCCTCATATAACTGGAATATTGCTGACTGCAGCATTAAGCAACAAACAAACAAAGATACATGCAAAACATGTAAAACATCTTATATTTAGTGGTCTTCAGTTTCTTCCAAGAGCCAAGCTTAAGATATGCCACAGTTTGATATAATGGCATTCAAAGGATCTTGGCCCTGTTTAAAAAATGTTCTCAGCACTTTATTTATCTAAAATCTGTGTTAATAAAACCATAGCTCTTAAGTCGCTTTGTAGAACCAGGCCTTGAAAATGAAATGATAATGCTGAATATTGTCACCATTCTGTTGCTTAGGTAACAAATGGGCCAGACACCAGTGATTGTGTAAGGCGTGGCAATTAGCTATGCAGAGTTGTGTCTCTTGGGAACACCAGAACAATAACACTATAGGTTCAAATCCTGGTTCATCCCAAACATGTTTCTAGGCTTGTCAGCACCATACCATGTCTTATGGGTTTGACTCAAGTGACACGCGTCTTAGACCTGCATCACTTTGGGCTTTCATCCCACATTTACCTGGCATGCCATGATATTACTCGAAGTGTTGTTAAGCCCAACTTTTAGACTCTCACTAAGTGACAAATGGATACAGCATGGCACACCACCTACCTGTCTCTGTGCTTCAGGTGAAGAAGGGGCCAGACAAGGGGAGGAAGGTGTTGGTGAAGAAGCGAGAACTGCCGATAGAAGCAATCTCCGGGGTATCTCTCAGGTAAGGAGGACGCCTGTCCACATCTCCTTATGGGGAGTTTTTGCATTAGATGGAAGTACTGAAGTGTATAGTGTTTTGAGAATTGTAAATTACTTCAAGGGTCGTTTAGTAGGGACCAATAGGCCTATTGTGTTTCATGCTGTTTAAGCAATCTCTGTCATTTGACACTAGTCATCACTAGAAGTACAGGAAAGCTAACTGACATGTAACCGAGAACAACTAGAGTATATCATCACAGCTTAAATTTATTTGACATACTTGTTACCTTACTATGTTTGACCGACAGAAAAAAGGACGTAAATACCGCAGTTTGTGACTGACTTCTATATGAATAAAATGTATTGAGTCGGAGCTCTGTTATCTCTATACCAAAGACTTAGGAGGATCATGTATGGTGCTACAATTTTCTGTGCAGAGTTGTGTCCCTTATGTGTGCCAGAATCTTATGTTAGTGGGTTTGAATCCCAGATTCACTGTGGTATGATTCATCGTTTGTCATCCCCATTCCATGCTAGTGGTTTGGTGGCAAGTGTCTGGATTAGTTGAGATGTGTTGACGTGTTGTTCTCTTACAGCACGATGCAGGACGACTTCTTCATCCTCCACATCCAGGGGGACTACAGCAGCCTGTTGGAGTCAGTGTTCAAGACAGAGTTCCTCACCGTTCTCTCCAAGCGATACAAGGACAAAACTAGCAGAGCCCTGCAACCCCAGTTCAGTGACAGGTGAGGTCTTATCATTTATCACAGGGGAGGGATGTAGAACATTGGTGGCACATGGTCCTGTGTACACCACACAGGTCACAGATCTGGTGAAGTTAAGTAACGCTGGTTGTGGCGAGTAGTTGGATGGGTGAATGCATTCGGCATCTTGACTCCAGAGAGTTTCTAGTGCTTCGGTCCTGCCCAACACCGAAGCACATGTAACATGTGGGGTGTTTTCATTGGCTAGTGACTTTGTTCGAAAAAAAACCTCTGTTCACCGAGCAGGGTACCCGGGTAGAATGAGGTGGTAATGTGACTGTTAACCTTCTAGCATCTGATGGACAGCTTGGGTTCCCCAGGGAGCTGAGAATAAAAATCAAGTGCACACGGATGCACTGACAAGGGTAATGATGTAGATCTGTCATGGTCGAAGCGCACTTGAGCAGTTATAAATTGGAAAGTGCACGATACAAATTCATTATTTAATTTTTCCTGTTTGAGTGTCCCCCCAAAGCAACCCTATGGAAGCATATAAGTGCCACAGTCTAAATTCTTTTTATCATTTATGAAGATAATACTTACATCTATGTATGTGATATTATAATTATACATATCGTATGATTGTTTGTTTGTAGTCTGGAGAACGTGTTGTGCTCTCCTCTCTTTATTACAGTTGTAGTGTGGTGTGTGTCATTCTCCAGTAACTTTGACACATTGAAATGAAGATTTACTTTATGCAATGTTTAGATAATACCTCAATAAAGACATGTCTAGGTAGAAAGTCAAACATATCGGTCATTATTAATTAAGCCAGAGGTTGTATATAACTGACCCGGAACTAGTGTCGATTAGAAAATAGTGTTACCTAGATGTAAATATCTTCTGCGTAGATGAAAGCATTATCTACATAGATTATAGTATCATCCATGTAAATGTAACATCATCATCGTAGATGAAAGTATCATCTACGTAGATGTAAGTATCCTCCACGTAGATGATACACTTCCATACCACCCAGCCCAAATTTGAGTCTGTTTTTTTTTATGACATTCTTCAAGGATGCATAACTTTCATAGCTTTTGTGTATCTTTCAACTAAAGCTAACACTTCAATATTAGAATAACCCAACCTGTGCAAAATCTTTTAAAGCTGCGAAGCCATCACTATGATTGTCAGGATGTTATGCTTCACCTTATGTCTCTGTGTAACCCTTCTATGTCATGTGACCGCCTCCGTGGTCTTGTGGTAGAGCGTCCGCCCGGAGAGCGGAAGGTCCAGGGTTCGATCCCGGGCCGCGTCATACAAAAAGACGTTAAAAGATTGTACTTGTTGTTACCCTGTCTGGCGCTCGGCATTAAGGGGCTAAAACAAGGACTGGTCGGCTCGGAGTCAGTATACTGTGTCTGAGTTGGGTATTCATGTTAAACTGCGGCATGGTATCTCAGTGAGCTAGCACTATAAATCGGCATCAGTCCGGACTAGTACAAGCAGCCACACACACACATACACGTGCATGCACGTCGCTATATAAGTGCAATAATCTTGGACGCGACGTTAAACTCACTTTCACCTCACATCTATGTCATGTTGTATGTTTTCAGCTTGGATTTTCCAGTGAAGAAAGAAGGCTGGGGTGGCGGTGGAAATAGATCTGTGCGCTTTGTTCGAGGTCAGGGTGATGAAGCTGTCCTCAAGCCATCCTCCAAGGTGCTGACAGTCAGTATTGGACAGGGACTTCCTCGGGACTCTCGTAAGTGAAGCAGGAGCAGCTGGCTGTACAGGATCACTAGACTCATCAACAACTTGGCATCATTGTACCTCTCATGTTTCATGATTTGGGAAAGACAGCATCCGGGAATGATTCATACAAGCCTAAGAGTGCATGGATTTTGTTAAAGAAGTCAGCATAGCGTCTGAGTGGAGTGTCCGTGTCACACTTTGGCGTAGTATCTCAGTGGGCTAGCACTATAAAACTGGCAGTAGTCTAGACTAGGACAAGGAGCCACACATGTGCATGCAAATTGCAACTTAGGTGAAATGATCTTGAACCATGCGTTTGTTGTCCATGTGGTGACAAAACTCCGGAACAAATATCAGATACAAACTTTTTTTGAAAAATGTTTGTGATGTATTTATTTTTTAATCCTGGTAGTTTGTCCTTCAAACTTGTTTACAGGCAGCAGATATCGCTGTTATATTGCTTACTGGTTTTAAACCTCGTACACTCACTCGCCATGTATAAACCATGTTAGGGTTCATGTTAATGTTGATCTCTCTCAACAGGGGGATTCTGGGTTAGAATTGGTCCTATGCAGGTCGTAAAAGGTGATCAAAAGTGTTGGGTTGTCAGGCTCTTTGCTCATTGTGGTTAGGTGAGGATCATTGTTCACAGGTTTGATCACTCGATTGTCTGGTCCAAACTTAAGGATTTACAGGCTATCATATCAGTGTCTGAAATAACTGCCTGCTTGTGGCTGCTTACATTTCTGTCGGGCTGCATGAAATTTTCCTCCACCTGCCTGACTGTTTGGCAGCTAATTTTAAGACTTCTTAGCTCTTCAGTTTTATTATAATTCCTCGTTGCATTATTTCAGCTGAATCAAATAGAGATTTGTCTCTTATTTTCCACGATTTTTCAAAACTTATAATGTCTGAATGCGGACAGGTGACTTTGAAGATGGGCAGGCAACATTCCCAGTAGGAAGTTCGGACCACCTGCTATACATGCATGGATGATGACTTTAACATCTTATACTCCCAGTTCCCGGTAGGAAGTTCAGAGACCACCTGCTATACATGCATGGATGTAGACTTTAACCTCTTACACTCCCAGGTCCCGGTAGGAAGTTCAGACCACCTGCTATACATGCATGGATGTTGACTTTAACCTCTTACACTCCCAGGTCCCGGTAGGAAGTTCAGACCACCTGCTATACATGCATGGATGTTGACTTTAACCTCTTACACTCCCAGGTCCCGGTAGGAAGTTCAGACCACCTGCTATACATGCATGGATGTAGACTTTAACCTCTTACACTCCCAGGTCCCAGTAGGAAGTTCGGACCACCTGCTATACATGCATGGATGATGACTTTAACATCTTATACTCCCAGTTCCCGGTAGGAAGTTCAGAGACCACCTGCTATACATGCATGGATGTAGACTTTAACCTCTTACACTCCCAGGTCCCGGTAGGAAGTTCAGACCACCTGCTATACATGCATGGATGTTGACTTTAACCTCTTACACTCCCAGGTCCCGGTAGGAAGTTCAGACCACCTGCTATACATGCATGGATGTTGACTTTAACCTCTTACACTCCCAGGTCCCGGTAGGAAGTTCAGACCACCTGCTATACATGCATGGATGTTGACTTTAACCTCTTACACTCCCAGGTCCCGGTAGGAAGTTCAGACCACCTGCTATACATGCATGGATGTTGACTTTAACCTCTTACACTCCCAGGTCCCGGTAGGAAGTTCAGACCACCTGCTATACATGCATGGATGTTGACTTTAACCTCTTACACTCCCAGGGCCCGGTAGGAAGTTCAGAGACAACCTGCTATACATGCATGGATGTTGACTTTAACCTCTTACACTCCCAGGTCCCGGTAGGAAGTTCAGACCACCTGCTATACATGCATGGATGTTGACTTTAACCTCTTACACTCCCAGGTCCCAGTAGGAAGTTCGGACCACCTGCTATACATGCATGGATGTTGACTTTAACCTCTTACACTCCCAGGGCCCGGTAGGAAGTTCAGACCACCTGCTATACATGCATGGATGTTGACTTTAACCTCTTACACTCCCAGGTCCCGGTAGGAGGTTCAGAGACCCCCTGCTATACATGCATGGATGTTGACTTTAACCTCTTACACTCCCAGGTCCCGGTAGGACGTTCGGACCACCTGCTATACATGCATGGATGTTGACTTCAACCTTTTACACTCCCAGGTCCCGGTAGGACGTTCGGACCACCTGCTATACATGCATGGATGTTGACTTTAACCTCTTACACTCCCAGGGCCCGGTAGAAAGTTCAGAGACCACCTGCTATACATGCATGGATGTTGACTTTAACCTCTTACGCTCCCAGGTCCCGGTAGGAAGCAACGTGTGAGTAATGGCAACCCACGGCGTCCTGCCCCCTCACACCTTCCCCCACCAACAGGTGTGGCGTCGCGACGAGGCCCCGCCCCTGGTAGACCTGCTCCACGTGCCCCCCACGGGACGGCCCCACCACCTCCCACATCCACGCCGCCATCTAGGAATCAAGGTAAGCTTGAGAAACAGGATCATGATGATCTTTATATTTCATCAGTAACTCTGCACTGTAGAACTGTTTGCTACATATGATGGTAGTGAAGTGGGTACTCATGATAGGAGTAGATGGATGGATTTGTTTAAAGTAGAAATGTATTTGTGGTTTGTTTTATTATTACTTGGTGGATCAGATTGAGACACAGAGGGGTTCTGAAAGTTCAGATTGGGGTATTTTGGTATAAAAAGGCTTGAATGGCTTATATTGGTATTCTTTAAGTGATATTTGTCAATCCATGTTCCTTGCAGTAAAACGTCAGTCTAGCACTGATATCCAGCAGAAGATATTGAGTCAGAGGTCCAACTCATCCGACAAGGCGCCATCATTGCCCCGGGACGGAGCTCAACACCTGGCCAAGAATCTCAAGCAGGCCAACAACAACAACAATGACTTCCTTGCCACACCTGATGCAGGGATTGCTGGGTGAGTGACTCTGTGACTCTGTGATAGCAAACATGGTGGGAGATGTGTGCAATGTCGTGTAGAGACGGGTCACATTGAGATATTGGTAGATGGGTCATATTGAGATATTGGTAGAGAGGTCAGTTTGAGATATTGGTAGATGGGTCAGATTGAGATATTGGTAGAGAGGTCAGATTGAGATATTGGTAGAGAGGTCAGATTGAGATATTGGTAGAGAGGTCAGATTGAGATATTGGTAGAGAGGTCAGGTTGAGATATTGGTAGATGGGTCACATTGAGATATTGGTAGAGAGGTCAGTTTGAGATATTGGTAGAGGGGTCAGATTGAGATATTGGTAGATGGGTCACATTGAGATATTGGTAGAGAGGTCAGTTTGAGATATTGGTAGAGAGGTCAGATTGAGATATTGGTAGAGAGGTCAGATTGAGATATTGGTAGAGAGGTCATATTGAGATATTGGTAGAGAGGTCAGATTGAGATAGTGGTAGAGAAGTTAGATTAAGATAGTGGTAGAGGGGTCAGATTGAGATATTGATAGGGAGGTCAGATAGAGATAGTGGTAGAGAGGTCAGATTGAGATATTGGTAGAGGTCAGATTGAGATAGTAAGGTCAGATTGAGATTTTGGTAGAGAAGTAAGATTGAGATATTGGTAGAGGGGTCAGATTAAGATTGTGGTGGAGAGGTCATATTGAGAGATTGGTAGAGAGGTCAGATTGAGATATTGGTAAAGAGGTCAGATAGAGATATTGGTAGGGAGGTCAGATTGAGATATTGGTAGAGAGGTCAGATTGAGATATTGGTAGATGGGTCATATTGAGATGGTGGTAGAGAGGTCATATTGAGATTGTGGTAGAGAGGTCAGATTGAGATATTAGCAGATGGGTCATATTGAGATAGTGGTAGAGAGGTCATATTGAGATTGTGGTAGAGAGGTCAGATTGAGATAGTGGTAGATGGGTCATATTGAGATAGTGGTAGAGAGGTCATATTGAGATTGTGGTAGAGAGGTCAGATTGAGATATTAGCAGATGGGTCATATTGAGATAGTGGTAGAGAGGTCGTATTGAGATAGTGGTAGAGAGGTCAGATTGAGATATTAGCAGATGGGTCATATTGAGATAGTGGTAGAGAGGTCATATTGAGATAGTGGTAGAGAGGTCAGATTGAGATATTAGCAGATGGGTCATATTGAGATAGTGGTAGAGAGGTCATATTGAGATTGTGGTAGAGAGGTCAGATTGAGATAGTGGTAGAGAGGTCAGATTGAGATAGTGGTAGAGGAATCATACAAAGATATTGGTAGAGAGGAGAGATGGAGATTTTGGTGTGCCTGATTGAGTTATTGGGTAGATTTGATTTTATAGTTATATCAGAGCAGAATGAGTAAGGTCAGATGAGGGGTCCTCGGAACATGTACATGTCTTTGTGCACTTCACGGTTTCTCCTTTCTGCCTCACGTTGGCATCTCAGTCCTCACTATGAATCACTGCATGGGGTGCAAGAAAGGCTCAGACATTAATACTTACATCAATTATCAATGTTTCATCTCCCTAATATGGTAGTACTAAGAATTTCAAAATTCATTTACTTTATTCCCCAGAATGAAGGAAAGAAACAAATAACAGTTGTTGTTTAGTTTGCTACTAACATAAACTGCCGCACATCTTACTTATTCCACATCTGTATATTTGACATGTCCTTGACCTTGTATGTGGAAGCACATTTGAACCCTGACCATTCTCCATTTAAGGCGAACTACTAAGTTGAGTCAGGAGAATAGGAAAAATGAGTAAGTTGTGCAAGTGAGAGGACAAGCACCTGCTGCAGTAGAATGGTGATGTTGGTGTTGTATTGTGTTGTGTTGTGGTGCTGGTGTTATGCATGATGTTGTGCTTTTGTTTCTTTATCCATATGCTTGAACCACATTCCCTTCTCATAAGAGCCTGTTGTACATGGGTTATGTATATAGAGGCTCCACGTTGGCCACAGCCCCTTGGGATTCCTAGGCTGAAGGGCCCCCAGTTCCCCATGCTTGTTATAAAGGCAGGTTAGACTGGAGTGGTTACAGAGTGACAGCGTGATCATAGCTGGACACTCTTGGTTTTATGTTAACCCTGAGGCTGCTGGGTTACTATGAAGTGTGTCAGGAAGTGAAGTACAACAGTTCAATACATAAGAGTTCTCTCCTCAATCGTTGTTGTTTTTTGAATATTTTTTTTATTTCTAATTTATTAGATGCATCTGTATAGACCTGTATGTACTTTTTTCCTGAACCTGAATTTTGCAAATTTGATAGGTGTCTTCAAAATTTACTTTTTTATTAAATTTTGTGCAGTTGTTAATTTCACAACCATCCATAAAATTTGTTATATCTTGGAAAATGTTGGTCCATTTGTATTAAAACGTTTAGAATCAGGTACAAGATCACCACAAATTCTTTGCGTATACATTTCATGATCTAATAGGAGTTATGACAATCGTAGCCTAAAGATTCCTTTGAGTCTGACTGTCCTTCTACCAGAAAGGATGGACTGTAGATTAGCTATCAACCACTAGTTGGACTCACTCAGAGTTGATTATTTACATGCCAGTGTGTCAAAGCTGGAATATTGCTGCCTGTAGAATTCAGTCCAGGACTCTATAAGTTCCCAATACTCAATGCTTGTTATTATAGGTCAATAGCATTGGGGTCTGGTGATTGGCTGTAGTTAGTGCTTGACAGGTGACACATCAAGACACCTAGTGCTCATACTGTTGACCTCTGGTGGCATGCTCCAAGCTGGATATGAATTTGAGACCACCATGTATAAATACAGATGTGATACCATATAGCATGTGCATCCCTGTAAGGATTCCAGAGCAGAATATATCTTCAGTACCCCATGCTTGCCCTCGCTTGAGGATTCCAGGGCAGTTTTTCATTGAGGATTCCAGGGTGGTATATATCCCTAGTACACCATGCTCGTCTCCCCATGTAAAATTTCAGGGCAGAATATATCTTCAGTACCCCATGTTTGCCCTTGCTTGAGGATTCCAGGGTAGTGTTTCATTGAGGATTCCAGGGCGATATATATCCCTAGTACCCCACACTCGTCTCCCCATGTAAAATCCTAGGGCAGAATAGGGCCCCAGTACCCCATGCTCGTCTCCCCATGTAAAATCCCAGGGCAGAATAGGGCCCCAGTACCCCATGCTCGTCTCCCATGAGGATTCCATAACGTGTGACCTGGCTATAATGTGTCACTGTACCCCAGTGATTATTCCTCTTGCTTACAGGCTGTCCAAATATAGGAGAACGCCAAATCAGTAAGAGTGGACGGGGCCGAGTGGGCCGAGGCACCACAGTTGCAGCCCTTTGGCATGTTGGGATCCTATGATCGTGGGTTCAGATCCCGGTTCACCTTGATCATGTTTTTAATTTTATCACCACCATACCCATGTTCTGGGTTTTCACCAAAGTGGTAAACATCACTTCTGACTTTTCCCCCACATCAGTTGGACATGCCGTGTCCCATGCTGTGTTACATAGCTGAAATATTGTTCAGTTGGACATGCCGTGTCACATGCCGTGTTACATAGCTGAAATATTGTTCAGTTGGACATGCCCTGTTACATAGCTGAAATATTGTTCAGTTGGACAAGCCATGTTACATAGCTGAAATATTGTTCAGTTGGACATGCTTTGTTACATGCCGTGAAACTGAAATATTGTTCAAAGCGGCATGAATGATAAACTTACACACCCCATAAAAGTGGAATCATGTCCTCCTCTGCTTGGAATGTCCTATGCTCATCAAGGCTGTTATGTTTAGAGTGGAAGTGGTTCCTGCTCTCACAATGTTCTAGTTCACGCGTGTTAGTCTCAGCCTGCTTGTGTTGTGTACATCACTAATTCACTGCTGTGGTCTCACTGTTTCAGGCTCTCTTGTGTCGATTCAGCACTTCATCGCACTTGTTTTTGTTATCGGCACAATTTTCAATGCAGAATGTGAATTCAGTGGTGACAATCAGGTCATTTTAGATGAAGCGTAGATAAGAAGCAATGTGGCAGTTATAATTCTGTTCTATATCTCCCTGTATCTGAGTTTGAATTCATATACTGTGCCAGAGATAGTGTGCAATATTTACCTGTACAGGTCCATGTCATAGGGTCTGTGAGGTAGAATATGTCCCTAGCACACCATTGCTGGTCGAAAGAGGCGACTAAATTGGGAACCCATGAAGATTGTGGGTTAGAATTGGTCCCTAGCAACCCATGCTTGTGATATGAGACTTGGTGACGAGGTTGATGGCATGTCAACCTACCTAACCTAGCAATGATCACGCTGACAGCAATATGAGAATTTATGCAGTTTGGTGATTGAAAATATTCTTTGATTTGTCTTAAATCTGTATCGGTTTGTGGTAGTGTCAACGATAGTTTCAAGGAAATTATTTTGGCATGCCACATTTTAGACATCATTGATCTCTGGTTTCAGCATATGACCTGCATCATGTTTGACTCCGTATTGTGGCATATGGCCTCTGGTTTCAGCATACAACCTGCATCACGTTTGACTCCGTATGTCGGCACATGGCCTCTGGTTTCAGCATATGACCTGCATCACGTTTGACTCCGTATGTCGGCATATGGCCTCTGGTTTCAGCATACAACCTGCATCATGTTTGACTCTGTATGTCGGCACATGGCCTCTGGTTTCAGCCAATGAGATGCATCACGTTTGACTCCGAAATATCGGCACATGGCCTCTGGTTTCAGCCAATGATGTGCATCAAGTTTGACTCCGTATGTCAGGAGCTGGTCTCTGGTTTCGGCATACAACCTGCATCATGTTTGACTCCGTATGTCGGCACATGTCCTCTGGATTCAGCATACAACCTGCATCGCGTTTGTCTCCATATGTCGGCACATGGCCTCTGGTTTCAGCCAACAACGTGTATCACGTTTGACTCTGTATGTCGGCACATGTCCTCTGGATTCAGCATACAACCTGCATCACGTTTGACTCCGAAATGTCGGCACATGGCCTCTGGTTTCAGCATACAACCTGCATCACGTTTGACTCCGTATATCGGCACATGTCCTCTGGTTTCAGCATACGACCTGCATCACGTTTGACTCGATATGTCGGCACATGTCCTCTGGATTCAGCATACAACCTGCATCACGTTTGTCTCCATATGTCGGCACATGTCCTCTGGTTTCAGCATACGACCTGCATCACGTTTGACTCCGTATGTCGGCACATGTCCTCTGGTTTCAGCCAATGAGATGCATCACGTTTGACTCCGAAATGTCGGCACATGTCCTCTGGTTTCAGCATACGACCTGCATCACGTTTGACTCGATATGTCGGCACATGTCCTCTGGATTCAGCATACAACCTGCATCACGTTTGTCTCCATATGTCGGCACATGTCCTCTGGTTTCAGCATACGACCTGCATCACGTTTGACTCCGTATGTTGGCACATGTCCTCTGGATTCAGCATACTACCTGCATCACGTTTGTCTCTATATGTCGGCACATGACCTCTGGATTCAGCATACAACCTGCATCACGTTTGTCTCCATATGTCGGCACATGTCCTCTGGATTCCGCATACAACCTGCATCACGTTTGTCTCCATATGTCGGCACATGTCCTCTGGTTTCAGCATACGACCTGCATCACGTTTGTCTCCATATGTCGGCACATGTCCTCTGGTTTCAGCATACGACCTGCATCACGTTTGTCTCCATATGTCGGCACATGTCCTCTGGATTCAGCATACGACCTGCATCACGTTTGACTCCATATGTCGGCACATGTCCTCTGGTTTCAGCATACGACCTGCATCACGTTTGTCTCCATATGTCGGCACATGTCCTCTGGATTCAGCATACAACCTGCATCACGTTTGTCTCCATATGTCGGCACATGTCCTCTGGTTTCAGCATATGACCTGCATCACGTTTGTCTCCATATGTCAGCACATGGCCTCTGGTTTCAGCCAACGACGTGTATCACGTTTGACTCTGTATGTCGGCACATGGCCTCTGGTTTCATGGTTTCAGCCAGTGCATCATGTTTGAATCACCTCTTTAAGATAATCATATCTAGTAATACATAAAGCTGTGTCATACTGTGATATAACTGAAATATTGTTGATGTGGCATTAACCCCCCACCCCCCTTACTTACCATCCATACATCTTGCATATTTTAGACATTGATTTATTATTAATTAATTATGAATTTATATAGTGCACTTTCCAATTTAAAAATACAAAATGCACTAAGACCATGATCAATCTTATAACCCCGCTCACAGTATCAGTGTGCACTCTATTTTCATTCTCACATCAGTTGGGTATTGACAAATCTATCTTGTGTTCTAGGATCTTGCGCAGCAATCAAAGGAAGAGTAAGGCCAAGCCCAACCCTGGTGGAGGCCGCCCCCGCCCGAAGCCCAATCTGAAGCCCAAGCCCACGCTGCCTCAGTGCAAGTGTCTGTACGCCTACGACGCTCAGGACACGGATGAGCTCAGCTTCAATGAGGGAGATGTCATAGAACTTGTCAAGGAAGGTAAGAATTCTAGAAGTTCTGGTGTGCCCCGCCATGATTTTGCTGGAATACTGCTAAAAGCGTTGTAAAACCAGACTCACTCACTTGCTCTAGAGTAGTCTTGATATAGCATCTCACCAGACATCATGAACTAAATCCAACTAGTTCATTCTGCACTGGCGACCCTGGTGTATTAGGCCTGGCAATTTGGTATGCGGAGTTGTGTCCCTTGGCATGCCATAACCTTACCTTATATGGGTTTGGAATCCTAGATTTGCCCAGGTTAGGACTCTTGGTTTGTCAGCACCGTACCAGTGCTCTTGGGGTCATGTGGGAAACTTCTGACAACTCCACATTAAGCCAATCTCATTAAAATCAGATCTTAGTTCTCGCTACCGTTAAACAAAGATCTGAGGACATCCCATTACGGGTCACGTCAAACCGACCTTGCGTGAACTTTGACTGACCAATGGAATGACCAATCAGAAGGCAGCTTTCTCGTGCTTTGCGGCACAAATTTCAAATTGGCGACTAAGCTTCGAAGCATATTTTGACAAATTCTCGATTACAAATTTGAAACCTGAACAGAAAACATTCTGGAATGGCTAATAGATGGTCTAGATTGTATGGATTCAGTCGTTAAACCCGTAACTATCGTTCGGAATACCCCATGTTAAAGTTTTCGAGATTGCATGATTTGATTGAAATCACATTCCGACTGTCACTTTCATAATCTGGTAAGCGACGCACTGATTGGTCGGATGAAAGGTTGTTCTGACAAGACCCCTAATGGGATGTCTTCAGATCTTTGTTCAGCGGAAGCAAGAACTAAGGTCTGATTTTAATGAGATTGACATTAAGCAGACAGGCCATTCTGTGACTGAAATATAGTCAAAAGCTCCCTAAAACCAAACTATCATTCACACCTTTTCACTTGTCTTCGACTAGGGTCTAGTGACCATGCCGAACACTATTTGCTGTTATATAAGTAAACAATTAATAGAAGGTGGTAATTATTTTTGTTAGATATCTAATTTCATCTCTCTAAAATGTTAGGCATCAAATTTTCTCTCTGGTTGTTAGATATTGATCTTGTTCTTTCATCTGCAATTTCAAGCTGCACTCTTTGAAGGTGAGAAGAGCTCAGCTTCTACTAGAAACAATTGTGACCAAAAAGCAGGAGTCTTGTGGTCTGCCTGAAAAAGAAGTCCTAACACCAATTTAGAAGTCATGATTTAACTAGGGATGAGCTTCTTCCATCTTCTGTACAACCTATAGATTTCCTATCAACTAGGCTGCTTCTGTGTGGGTTAATGCAGGACTATGTCAGCACTCAGCTTGATGTATTGACAGACTGTGCCTTGTGTTACAGACCCTGCTGGCTGGTGGCATGGCAAGCTGAGGGGGAAGGAAGGCCTGTTTCCGGCCAACTATGTAGAGAAGCTGTAACTACACAACAGATGAATAGACAGGTTCATATACAGAACAGACTGACGGATGAACAGGTCCATCTACTGCTACACAACAGACTGACGGATGAACAGGTCCATCTACTGCTACATAACAGACTGACGGATGAACAGGTCCATCTACTGCTACAGAACAGACGGTCGGATGAACAGGTCCATCTACTGCTACAGACCAGACGGTCGGATGAACAGGTCCATCTACTACTACACACCAACTGGAGAACCACCCCTTTCAGACCAGGTGTGACTCCATGTGCTGATCCTGCTAGACAATTCTGGTTAAGGTTCAGTGTATACACATTTGCTCTTGAAGGGGTGGGGGTAGCCTGGTGGTTAATGTGTTGGCTCTCCGGGCCAAGGGCCTGTCATCAGTTCTCATCATGGGTGCAGTGTGTGAAGCCACATCATGACATGGCTGGAATACACTCACAGTGGCACTTTGTCTGCTGTTGCTTACATACAGCACCAGGGGGTCTCTTTAATAAGTGTGATAGCCGCTTCGGGTGCTTAAAGAAATTTTCAAGGATGGGTTCATGTCGAAGGCGTAAATTAACCTTTCAGTGTTTGAAGTATGGTGCTCTTGTCCCAACCCAACAGATTTAATGTTTCCCTATATTTATATACAGGATGAAAAATATCAAGGGCCCCAAAATCAAAGAGCCTGTTCTACATTGTTAACAAGATTAAGCTTTTGACGACATCATTATAATAAAGAAATGACAAAATCTACCATTGGGAAGGGAATCTCTACACTCTATTTTCATAATGTATGGGACTTCTGTGTGTTTCAAGGCAGCTTGACCAGATTGTATTTAAAAGATAGGTACCAAGGACGGGCAGTTAACAATGACTGGAATATGCTACTCAAAAGATGTTAAAAGAACACCAATTTTTTTTTTCATTTTACTATTGTTGATATGTCAGGATATGACAGATAAACTAGCTATGAAAAAGTTGGGTGTATATTTAAAATAAACATGTTGGGAATGCTTATTTGAATAGGGCACTTATTACGGAATGTGGGAGGGCTTAATACTTTAGGAATGTTTATGGACTTTTATTCCATGAGAAAACATTGATAGTATGAAGAGCCTTTTTGCAGGTTTAAGGAATTTGTTTCTTTGAAAAGTATGTAATGACTGAGATGTTATAACGTTGGTGAATAGCCTGATCATTGTCAGTTGACATTCATGATCCTGTTCATATTAGGCTGTAAAAATAAAAGAAAATGTTCTCAGGCAATGGCTTTTGAAGATGTTGTGCGGGTGGTGTGTGGGTTTTTTTAGGGTTGGATGGGTGGTTGTTCAAGCTCGTATGTTACCAAATTTTGTTTACATTAATTTGGCAAAAATTTGTCCTTAAGTATTGTGGCATTTCCCTTCCGGGGTCATGTGTTCAAGACGCTGAGCATTTACAGATTGTTTTCAAAAAATTAAATTGGAAATAACAATAAAACGTGTGGCAGACTTTATGATAATGTGGGCGGTGCCTGAGATTCAAGACTATTATTTTTTTTAGTCTTATTGACTCCTTATAGGATTGTGTTCAAATTAAAATTTAACGTTGCATCAGCATTATTTCAGCCATGTAGCGATGAGTTGTGTAGGATTGAAATAGTTAGTATGCTGTACCAGTTCTGGGATGTTGGTTCACATGAGAGTGTTCCCATTACTTCTAACGACACTGGTTTGACTTCCCTTCATGGGCATTCAACACTTGGTGCCCCTGTCTTTGTTGGTCAGGGAAGATTTGTGAAATTTGTGCTAGTCATTATGTGAATGTATCATTGCTCACCAATTGGCTATGGTCAGTTTGAAAAAGGAATTACTAGATTCAGTGGAATCTGTCACAACCAGACTTAGGATCACTGGCAATGGTGGACTATGGAATGAACTTTTGTATAGTTTTAAGTAAATATTGTCTTTGTTAAGGTGTGTTCATATTCTGACAGAATGGCATTAAACGACTGTGAAAATAACACTTATCCTGACCGTAGCAAACGAAACTTAACTTTTGGTCACATACGATCTGGTTTAGACAGATTCCACTGTAAGTATGCACGATGTTATCTGCAGTGAATTATATGACAATTATGTTTGTTACATTTGATAATAGCTTGTTTTTCACTGAAACAAATATCTTAAGTTTTACTGATAGCCATCCTGACCTTGGGTTCACAATTACCTCTGAAGACAATTGCTGTTATCTTCTTGCATAGGTGTTGATGCAGTGAAAGAAGTGGAGGCATCTCTGTTTACAGATAATTAACATAGTAACCATGGTAACTCAAAGGTAGAAATAACATTGAAAATAAAAATAGCATAGATAACTAGATCCTCATCTTGAGAGACCCTTGTCCTTTGAACATAGCACTTGGTGACGATCTTTCAGGCATGTCATGTCTGTGGTTTGATTAACGTATGTTACATGGTGATAATGATCAGTATTATGTTGCAAATACATATTGATTCAATCTGCAGGTTCATGGGATATTTGATGTCTGGTACAAAGTTCTCTCGAGCCCAGGATAAACACCACTCACCCCCGCTTGATATTTACCAGGTCAAACAATGATATAGAAACGCAACAGGTAGATACCATAGGCTGAATGACTGTGGTCTAGTGTCAATAATGAACCTGCCTCTTACGATTACTGTATGTGTCTTGCTGTGCTGATTTCAAGGCTCGTTCACACAAATTACTGCTAGTTCATCAAATATATATGCAGATAGATTTGTGCACGAAACCTTTTGTTTTGAAAGCAGAATTACTTTAGGAATAGATTTTATTCATTCATATTTACAAACAATGTTTGTGTGTGATATCTGAAAATAATGAAAATCAGACGATCTCAATATTAATTTCTTGAAAGGGTGATAATTTGTTTCCACCAAGTATTACATAGATAATACAAATATTATCTTATACAAATGTAACAGACAATATTCCCATTAGTGGATAATGACACAACTTGGCGAGAAGTCATATAGACTGGATCAGAAGTCCCTAACTTCAAAAGTCTATCTGATTTCCTTTAGTCCAACTCAGGCCAGGGTCAGTTCAAGGGAAGCAACTCTTACTGATCTCTATGACAAGGTGATAACTTATGGACAGGAAGAGATGCTCTGTGATGTTATATACACTTGGTTGATATTTGTGTGTTGAACATGTGTTCTATTTTAACAGAAACACTGCATATTTATGATCATTTTATAGATAATTACTTCTATATTCTGACTATCCATCCATATTTTTGTGCCTTGGAATATTAGATGGGTCATGCTCTGTACATTTTGTTTTGGAGACTATGTAAGTTAGATATCCTATTTCAGATATATTTTATACAAAACAAGTCTGTTCCGCCCATACAACACACTGTATATTGAAATGTGGTTGAACATATTTTTGGACAGTGTTTTCAAGAGACGGTTAATTTCATATTCACATTCACATGTTAATATACAATATTGAATGTGTTGACTGTGCCTTCAAATGTTGCGATTACATTTTAACAGTAGGACGATTTTTGCATTACTCTGAGATAGGGGTGTCAATGATTGGAGTGTCAATATATCTTCTGCAAGTATCACAATATTTTGATTATTAACAAAAATAGATATTCTGTATATGTAGCAAAAAAATTTCTCTCTCGTCCTACAATTAATCAACTTGATGCTATATATGAACTAGGCTGATTCTTTAAATGTTTATTATTGAATTTTCTGCTTTCTTGTAATTCATCTAACCATGGTAATCTTAATATTTGTAAACATTTTTGTGGCTTTGAATTATTATTTAGTATCGATATTCATAAAATTGTATCCATAAAGTATCGACATTAAACTTGTATCCATACATCGATATTGTGATATCCGATGACATCCCTACTCTGAGGACAAAACATGACATGGAAACATATCTGGGAAGAGATTAACCATATGCAGTGGACATCCTGATCAAGGGGAGACAATCATACCATATAGTAAGAAATGTTTCGTATAGTTTCATGAATATTCATGTATTCAGTGCATGTACAATCTCAGCTACAGACTCTCTCTGCCATGTTACCCTCAGTCAGTACTCAACACGTACCTGTCTGTATTCATTCTTAAGTCATACTGGAAGTAGAAATATGAGATATCAAGTAAGAAATGAACAGCTGATTCTCTGTAGGTAGGTGTATACTCCCAATCTGATGCATTTGATGTCTGAAATGAAAGCAATAAACTGGCTAGTGTTTACAATCGCCTGTAAATGTTGTTTTTTATATACAGTGTATGATGAATATAATTAGTAAATCTAAGTTTATTTTGTACAAAATATATGATCTATGTTAGTAGATATTTCATATGTATATACCTTCCTGTGTATATATGCATTTATTTTGTTGTTATTGCCTTATTCTCATGATCACGAGGTAAATTGTCTTTTCAAAGCCCAGGGACTGTTTATGATACCTCTTACTGATGATTCCCAAATACTGTTGTTTGCAGTAAATGTACGACAGCAGGATGTCATTATTTTTTCTATGTATGTTTTGTAATACTGTATGTGATAAAATTGAATCCTAATTCATGAAAACAGGGTTACTGTGCTAATATATATTTCTATATAGATCTGAAATAATCATTGAACACAAATTTTTACAATTCATAAGTTAGAAAATTCACCCTTCACAAATACTTTTAAACAATTTGTAGCTGGGTCTGGTTTAGTGTCAATAAGATAGCTGGCTACACAGATAACAGACAATATAGAAGTGAAATGTAGTCTTGCATGGTGTCATGTGACCTTAAAACCGTTTGGCCTTTATGAATTTATTATTATATTTTTTACATATGAATTAAATCCCTATGTCTCTCTTCATAATAAAGATCAGCATTTCAGGTCTTGTTTAAGTTGCTATTGTGAGTTTAATGTTAACCCTTTAGAGACAATTTTGAAAACTGAAAAATCCCTGGGCCATTTTTCACAAAGTGATCTCAGCATTAATACTCTCGTAACTGCAGTACTTTAACAGAGATTTACGACAATCGTAGTGCTGAGATTGCTTTGTGGAATGGGGTCCTGATGCATTAACACTACATAGTGCTAACTACTTCATGTATGTTCTGGTATATAGACAACATGTCCCATATGAATACAAGTTATAATGACCCAAATATACATGATAGGTACCTCCTTCTTACGTGCTTGAAATAACAGGGTAATGGTCATAATTTTTTTTTTTTTCTTGTCTTCAGATAAATTATATATAAGAAGTGGTTTGTCTAAAGTTTGATGTCTCAAACATGGGGTTCATATGTAGACTTGGTTAGTTTCCTCTTAGAATAATGTTGGTATTACCATCCTGAAGACACACGGTTTTGTCAGTTTCATTCACATCGTTACTAGAAAGGATTCACAACTATTCTGTCCTGGAAAAGAGGAAATGCAAGTGTTAGCAATAAGTGTGAAGTCCTGCATACCACAACAGTGTCCGCAGATGCTGCAAAGTAGTATATGACACATTTCTTTCTTTTTGTCAGCAGGATTTGTTAGATGAAATACAGAATGAGAATTGCTTTTAATTTTGTCATTTCTATTGCTTTAGATTGGATTTGTTTTAGATGGGGTTTGCTTTGTATAGTTTGTTTGCTGAAATTAATCTATTACCTGACCATGACTTCCTTCATCTTCCCGAGGCAAGAGAGTAAACCGACTACAAAAGTCCAGTTTCCACCCTTGCCGAACTAGGCTTGTATTATGGAGTTACATTTTGGCTGGACTAACAAGTCTATGCATAGTCAAATCCAAATCGTGCACCGAAATCGCAATCCGGTTCGTAAACTCTCATGCAGATTCCTTTAGGGTTTGAGTTAATATCAAAATTATGCCCACCTCACTTAATGAAGTGACAATTACAGATAGTAGTCAATAAATAAATTAATATGAAAATATCTTGGAAGTCCATAGTACATCCTGAAGACAGAACTATAAAGAAAAGGTATGCAAAATTTGTGTAAAATTGTATATTGATGAATGATTCTTGTCCCTTGAATTTATTGTTTGTATAGAACACTGGGCATGTTATTACCCATATTGACGACATTATGTAAACATTATAACTGTTACCGACCATGATCACGTTCATGTTGTATATTATAGCTTCAATTCTTTATACATATGTGTATATGCTTGGCTTGGACTATTTAAACCATGTACACCTGTTAAGCCTTATTTTGATATCATTCTATATTATCTTCATTATGCATTCCCATTTTCAATAAACATCAACAGCAATAGATGCGTTTGTGTTTTCTGTTCACAGAGCTTTGTATTCCTCAGTCACGCTGAAGACTGGGGTTACACTCCCGACATGGGTACAATGTGTGAAGCCCATTTCTGGTGTTCCCCACCGTGATATTGCTTGAATATTGCTAAAAGCGGTGTAAGACCATACTCACTGTATTCCTCAGTGATATGGCAAAGATGAGCCCTATATATACAACTGGAGAACACTAGGCATCACCTTTGGTTTCATATTTTCATTATAAATGTATGGGAACACCCAACATCAAAGCAAACCACAGAGAGTCATAAAATACCAAATACGAAATGACCTCTGCAACACAAATGACCCTTTGGATGGAAACCTACCTGAGTTAGCAAAATTTTCAAATACAATATTTTTCATTATGCAAACATTGTTCACCCAAATGCAACAATGCATGTGAGTCTTGTGGATAAGGGGCGGTCGGGTAGCCTAGTGGTTAAAGCGTTCGCTCGTCACGCCGAAGACCCAGGTTCAATTCCCGACATGGGTACATTGTGTGAAGCCCATTTCTGGTGTCCCCTGCCGTGATATTGCTGGAATATTGCTAAAAGCGGCGTAAAACAATACTCACTCACTCACTCTTGTAAATAAAGTGAAGACATTGCCATAAAGCGCTGCTTCTTTTGGAAACTATGCTGGCAAGAAGACCATTGAGCCAGTTAGACATGGGTTTTGTGATAGATGTCAGATGATCAGTATTTGTGTTTCTGTTTTTCAAAATGAGTACTTGTCTTTATTTTAAAAACCAAATGTGTCTTGTTAACAACCCCCTATTACCCAACACTACCTGGATATACCGACTGAAGGTCTCAAGGCTGGGTACAAAATGTCCAATAATGGACTGTTTTACTGGACCCCTGGCAAAAGGTATTTAGAAACACATATAAAACGATCTGATCATGAATACACTGAAGCTGTATCTTTACTCAAAACATATAAAAGTCAGAATGAATGTGCATATAGTCAGAAAGATATGCGAACATTATCGACTTGAAGGTAACCCAACCTAAGTTCCCGTCCCAGCCCTTATACTTGGGAAATAAAAACATACTTTTCACTATTTTTTTAAGGTTGTTTAACACTGTAGTTAGCAATATTTTAAACAATTTTGAGTCTGGACTAGACAGATATACCGATAGCCTGAGCAACCATCGACACCATGTGATGACAAGTCACACTTGAACCATTAGATCCCAATAGTCATCTTCTCCAGATGTAAATCTCTGTGACTTGTTAAATCTGAGCTGTGGGCAAAACGACGCCTTGCTTGCTTTCCTTTAAAAAAAAAAAGGCCGCCGTTCACAGCTGGTTCTCGCCATATCAAGGTTCCGTTTTCGTCAAGCCAGTCGCCGTTTTCTAGTTAATTCTGATTATCCTTAATGTAAACCTCAAACTATCTTTGCTATTAAGAGTGATGTCTTATCCCCTTATAATTTGAAAAGGAAGCTCCATAATAGAACGCATCAACGATTGTTTACATTGGAAACGGGCACATTGTACTTCCGGTATCCGTGTGACATGCGCACAAGGAAGTGCGCTATGTTTGAATATCCGTTTTGTGTTGACAATGTGAAATATGTGTTGACAGTGAATGGAAAGTAGGGAACAGGAACAAAATTAGACAAAAGTAAACCTTTGATTTGAAGACAGCTGAATACTGATACAAATACAGATCCATGGGAAGGATGGGACATGGCGTTTTCGTCCCAAACAGCTGAGCTAACGAACTATACGTCAAGATGCTTTTGGAAACGCGTGTTTTGACATGTAAGCATAACACATTTTACTCTAGTAAAATCCTACCCCGCTTCAATGTCATTGGCCTCGCAACGCTGTCTGAAGGTTATTTTGCCGCACATTCAACTGTGCGTTGATGGCCTTTGCTCTAGATTGCATAGATTGCTTGGTTATGCACGACCTTGCAGACTATGTCGGAGAGACGATCAACGAACGTTGTGACATTTAATAAGGCAGTGATTGACACTGTCAGCATCAGCGAGGCGAGGGTAGATCATTGGCCACACTTGTTTTGCAATTAAAAACCTAAAGAACAACCTGGAATAAAAGTAGGAAACAACATGGTACATAAAAGGCAAATTGACAATGAACCTGAAAATTCTAAAGGGTGCCCAAGATCTAATAAAAGAGCCTGCACAATTGGTCAAGCGTGATGCAGTAGGCCTCATTCAATTCTGAAATAGCATACAGATGGGCAGATACACCTTGTAAACTGCTTTCTTGGATTTGGGGTAAAGAAACAAAACCAAATATGCAAATGAATCATGTAGTGCAACTGATGTATCCTCGTTTTTAATGTTTTCGGAAGATCATCTGGAGTATTCACTGTCTGTGTAAAGCCACACCCCTTGGTATAGCACAAGTAATCTCTATAAACATGGCTGTCCAAAAACACATTATGTTGGAAAACATATGATCCAACTATATATTAACTTTCAAATGATTAACTGAAATAGGGTTACCAAGCATGAAGAGTAGGTAGTCACTAATTGGTTCATTACTTGTTTATCTAATGCATATTGACAATATTATGTGACATTGAAATTAATTTCAAGGGTCCTAACAGGAAATATGAGTTTACTCTAAAGTAATAAAATGGTGTAGAGTAGGATTTGATAATTACTTTAAGAATAATTACAGGACTTTTATACTTCTTGTCACAAATGAAGTACAATGAATGTTTCTAGTACTGTACTTCCTGAGGGATGCACTATATACTTCTACGTCCATTCTTTACATTAGTGTGTACTGGATGCACATTTCTGCGTCTTGTAAAACCCTGATGCGATGAAAATTTACTTTCTTTCTGTTGGATGAGTTTGTCGTGATGTTCCATTTCTTTGTGTCATACATGAATATAGAGAATCTGATGGATTATTGAATGGGGCCTGCATCAACCTGTCGCTGTCACCTGAAAATTTGCATAAATGGAAGTGAATATTCCAGTGTTTCAGCCAAACTGTACCCCTGCAACATTCATGCAGATTTGTGGAAATAAGTGCTAAAAATATATTCAAGTGGGTATACATTGGTTCACATCTGTCTTAAATGTTACCAAAAATACAGTTATTAAATTTACACAACTCTAGTACAAGAAATTCTAAATATTTTTTTAACCAGTCTTTCAAAATTATAAGTCACTTCATCATCATGTGTCATAATTGGCCTACCATTAGAATACAGTACCACAAACTTTAAAATATAAACACTTCATAATAACCAATGACGTAATTTGGATAAAGAGCATGCAAAAGACACAGTGTGAACAATGCCCTGTGACGTCAGCCTAGCTACAAAAATCACGAGATGTAGTGGTACTGTATTCCATGGTATTCTAAAGGTGCTCCGTCATAATAAAGTTGGCACACTTGTGAAAAGTAAATATGCCACTTTTTGGTGAAGTTCCTGGCTGCAGTATTGATATTCTGTATTAATTAATTGTGCTCAACATTGGCTTACTAAACTGCCTCTGTAAAAATGAAACAGTAACAGTTGTGTTTGTTTAATCATCTTACTTTGTATCAAGAAACGCCACAACTAGCAGGATGTAAATACATGTAAAATGTTCAATGAAAACTGACAACATTGTATTACTACACTAAGACTGCTAAATATCCGACTTTCATACCATATAATGAATGCAACAAAGAAAATAACTTTGATTTCAGAATGAATTAACAAAAATGCTAATAAATATTTCCCATTTTGTTGCAAAAATCTGATAATTGGCTTGGTTAGATTTTTGTATGAGAATCTGTGGTATGACTTCAAAAGTATTGTATGGAATTTCATTAAAAAAGACAACTTGAAATAAATTTGCTTGACTATGCTAAAACTATAAGATCTAGTCTTTCAAAATCCACCTCTTCCGGTAATTACAGACCTTATAACAATTAACATTTGAATCTGTGTATTGGGTATGTATGCATCAGGTGTGTATTACAGCAGTGTGGTATCTGAGAGAGAGGTAGGTGCGTGTGTATATCGGAGAAGTAACAAGCAGGTGTGGTAATTGGCAAGTATGTGGAATGCCCTCCTGAGACAGTGTAGATTATGTGGGATTATCTGCCTTGGTGTGGGGTGTTAACTGTAAATCCCTCCCCTTTAGCTGCCGCCTAGTATTCGAATACAATTGTTTCAGGGGATACCAAGTAATTCCAATACTTTCCCAGCTAAGGACTTGGACCTGGCCAGTTTTGAATTGTGGAATATGGAGTTATGAAGTTATTGTTGCAGTTATTAAATGAAAAATTGTCGCCATTTAATTTCATAACAGCATATACCTTTTACATATACATGTATCATGATGTATGTGACTGATAACAAAAAATAATAAAATGATGATAACATCATTCTTTTGAACATGTACTAGTGTGATTCACATCATAGATATGATAAGTTTATGAAAATACAGATATGTGATATTTAACATGTTCAATCTAGCTAGATTGCACTAAACTGACTTATTCATATTCAATGTCATCAAATATTTCTATGTGAGCCTTTCACAAATATATTGTATTTGAATTTTCATTATTTCATGTTGATTCTCCCAACATTGAGGTTCAGATGGTGACCATCCATTGTTGTTGATGTTGCTGTATGGTCCCTGATGAAGTAGAAAACCCTCACTCACTCAGTAGGCTCTTCTTGCATGTTTGGATTATGTATTTGACTACTAGTCCTTAGGATACCTTAACTATTGAGCAATTTGGCAAGGACTATAGGACTAGTGCCAATTTCTAACGCTGGAACTTAGATTATGAGGCAGTATGTGATATGAAAGCAATACTTTGAGCCATACGTAAGAATGAGAATCTTTACTCATAGTGACATGCACAATTCACACTCCATTGTACGATATAGCTACCCAAGCTGTGGCTCCCTAAACACAATATTCAGGATATTGTGGATTTAATTTCACAGCTGTTAACATGGTTAATGTGTATAATTAGTGTCCCATTTCGGGCTTATGTGGCGAGATTGTGGACATCATCCGGAGAGGATTAAAAGCTTATACAACTCAAATCATACCTAACACGCCCTGACAATGTTTCATTGAAGACGCTGATGGCTCAGAATACTCATTAGGGATAACGTTACACCATCTGACAGGCACCCATCTGGAACCTGTCCTGGAGTCACCTCGGATCACAGATAATGACTTATTAATCATTATAGTGGAGAATGATAACTAGACAACAATCTCTTGTATTCTTCTGTCGGCATACCACAGGAGGACCTTTGACAAGGTGTATGTAAAGAACAATACAATCTCCGGAGCAGGTAAATAGTTCTGTTAGCATGTTTATCAGAAAAATGATCTCCATTTTGCATGTCTTGATTCATAATCAGCCTGATGTTAAAGTTAAAGTTCACATCCATAGAATATCATTATTATTATTTTTCAATTCATTCTTGGCATAATGTGTCATAGTGTCTTGACTGATATGATCATGATGATCAGGGTTTTTTCTCTGAAATAATGGCTACTTTGATGGGACTAAAGCCAAAGAATTGTCATTCTTTATCATGTGTATATATTTGGATATTTACACATTGAGTAACATATTATGTAACCTTTCAAGTATACATATGGTAAAAAATGTTTGAAATGTCTTATGAACATTCTGAAACAATAGCGACCCGCCTCCGTAGTCTTGTGGTAGAGTGTCCGCCCGGAGAGCTTAAGGTCGGGGTTCGATTCCCAGCCGCGTCATACCAAAAGACGTTAAAAGATGATACTTGTTGTTACCCTGTCTGGCGCTCGGAGTCAGTATACTGTGTCTGAGTGGGGTATTCATGTTAAACTGCGGCATGGTATCTCAGTGAGCTAGCACTATAAATCGGCATCAGTCCGGACTGGTACAAGCAGCCACACACATACACGTGCATGCACGTTGCTATATAAATGCAATAGTCTTTGACGCAGCGTTAAAACCCAATTTCACCTCACCTCTGAAACAATAGCTACCAGGTTTAGCTAAATGATCATGATAAGAATTAAACAATCATTTAAAAGTTTCATGTATGAGCAATAGCAAAACATAGTGTACATAGATGTTCATGTGCAGTTATTGGAGGCATCTAACTTTTCCTTCAAATAACTAAATATTGAGGAAATGTTTGAAAGTGCTGCAATGGAAAATCTCAAAATCCTGAGCATAGTAAGGATATAGGAATCCCATTTAGTAACACAATCAAGATTTGGATTGTCAAATACATCCTTATTCTACTGATATCGATGTTTTGCTGTATGTACATTCTGCAGTTGTTTGGTTAGTGGGTAGAGCATCTGCCCAGAGAGGGGAAGGTCGGTGGTCCTACCTACATCATTCCAAAAGACACTAAAAGATGGTACTTGTTGTTACCCTGCTTGCCACTTGGCATTATGGGGATAAAACATGGACTGGCCAGCTCGGAGTCAGAATACTGTGTCTGAATGGAGTAGCTATGTTAGTACTGTGGCATGGTATTTCAGTGTGCTAGCACTATCGGCCTGGCTTGAGTCTGGACATGCACACGCAGCCACACACACGTGCATGCAGGTTCCATATGAATGAAATTCCAAGTTTATGATTTAAACATTTTATCCCCATTTCACCTGATCTCCTCTCTAGTTCCTTTCTTTTTTCATTATTGTCAACAGAAATTATGTCACTGTATTGTACAGAAATACACAGGTTATAATCATACCAAAAGATTAAAGAGGGCTGGAAGTGGCTAGTTTGGGCCTATTGCGAAGACAT